TATAAGGAAATACTGAATAAAGAGAGAGAGAGAGAGAGAGAGAGCAAGTGGTAGTACTGGCGGTCAACGAGACAGGAAACGGCCAATTATTGTCACAAAAAAATTAATTCCATTACTATATAATTCATGAATTACTTTCTATCATTCAATCGCAACCCAAACCCCCATAACATTAGTCCTGGTCTTGAGATATGATTAAATTGAAAATAGAAATACAGTACTATTTTTGGGACAATTTTTTATATTCAATTTGAAATGCAATTGTCAATTGATGATATCGTATACACAGTATATATATAACTAGATAGCGAGATGAATGTGGAAAATGTGATAAACCTAACATGTAATGTGTTATTCAATTTATATAAGTTATAATCAAGAACTCAAACCAACCAAAGCATTGTTAAAAAGTTTATTATTAACTGTTTTTTGTGTTCATATTATTTTATAAGATCTTATTTTGTGAAGAATTTTGACAATTTTTTCACAATCTCTCACTTTCTGACTTTTGACGGACTCTCGTTGGCGTTGACTTTGGTTTTATAGCTAAACACAAACAATTTTTTACAATTCACTCCCAATATCTAGTTAGGCATTAATTGGAGAGCAGAGGCATCACTAATACATACCTATAATATAGCAGTAATTTTCACTTCTGAGCACAAATAACAAGTGTTTGGTGTATGAGTTGCCGCTAAAAACCAAAATTTGAGCCTTAATTATAATGCCGTTAACATTGGGAATGAAGAGAGAAAAATGGTGAGGAATATCGTGAGCAATGGTCTAACACATTGATTATTATTATTATATACCTGTGCTCTCAATCGCTAACAACCCCAACATTGAAAGCCTCGTTGGTATCACTTATTTTATTCGCTCATAAAATCTTTAATTTGCTTTCTTTAGAAAAAACAAATTATTTGCTTCTCATTTGACAACTTATTTATAGGCAATAAAATAAAATTCTTTGCCAAACAAATTGAATACAAAAATCCAAAACACATCTCTCTTTATATATCATCAAAAATATACAGTGTATGAGAGATGAGGTGTAATTGTTTCGCATATGTTTGTTGTTTAAGGTTTTAACTCAACTGTTATTTTTTGTGGCCATTTAGTGAATAACTCTATTAATTCTTATATACAATAAGAAACCAATCGATTAAAGCCTACGACAGACCACGAAATCAAGATTTATTTTTTATTTATTTTGTTTGTATCCCTTATTACTACACCATATGAATGCCTCATTCACATACAAACCTATCTCGTATACCTTATGCATAGCTATTGCATGCACTTCTATGCAGTACAAGCATAAGCAGTAACACAGATAGGTTTGTATGTGAATGAGACATTCATATCTTATTTCAATGGCAGAGAAAAAATCAATTTTCATGATTTTCTGCATCTTATGATAGAATTATATATTATTTTTTATTATAACTCTATGTCTCAAAAACATAGAGTATTAGCGAAGTATTTGTTGTGTTACTAATCGTGAAGTTGTTTACTCGAGAACATCAATCATAATCAAAGTTTTGAATTTAATATAACTTAAAGAATAATAATAATAGAAAAATATGAGAATTGATGCCCACATAACAAAAGCCATCACATCTCATATCATATGCCAAAAATAGTGCAACACTTATATGCCATGCCATCGATGCAAACTCCCGGAGCCGTACGCACGAGAAATTGATAGTTTGTTATCACACAAGTAATAAAAAAATCAATTGTGGTTTTAGTGAAACAAATTTCTTATTTCGATTCGCGTTTTGATTGTCTTTTCAGAGCTTCTCTCTCTCTCTCTCTCTCTCTCTCTCTCAACACAATACATGTAATATTAAAATTTTTACAGAATTAACATGACCAATGTCATTGTTTTTATTAAATTTTAATATTTATATTCTTGTTAAGATCCAATTGCTAAAATATTTAAAGTGATTTTCAAAACATTCAAATAAGCACTTTTTCTACAATATCATTTTGTTTATTTAATAATTTTTTTAATCATATATAAATACATAAATAGTAAAGATATTGCATGATCGTGATACATAATAGTATGAATAATAAATTCTTTTATAGTTAAACCGTTTAATTGCAAACTTAATCACAACTGAAATCATGGAATTATCCCCGGCTGAATACGAAGAAACTACCATGTACCAAAAAAAATGTGCCCACGATTTTGTCAACAATATTGTCTCCCAAAACAAGTAATAATTTTTTTATATAGTTATAATCATATATCTAAATAAATCATAATAATATATTTAAACTAAAACTATAAATCAATAAAAACTGTAAAACTATTATATTTGTAAATACACAGAGAATACGACATAATTGTAGACCTCGGGTGTGGGACCGGGTATTTGGTGGACCTGTTGTCACAATCGGTGAAACACAAGCGCATCGTTGGGGTCGACGTCTCGCCAGATATGATAGCATTTGCCGAACAAAACCACAAACCCATGGATTCCGTCCAGTATTTGGTCCAAGACTTGAGCCAATCCTGGGATTCATTGAGTCCTGAGTTGAAGGCATTGGAGTCTAAGGTATCGCTAATTGTATCGGATTTTGTAATCCATTGGTTTCCAGATAAGAGCCGACTAATGCATGTCGTGAGCAAACTGTTGGCTAAAAACGGAGAATTTGTGGCCAATAATGTTCGCACACCGGATGTCATGTCATTGTTGACAAGCGATCAGATCCAACGATACAATATACAAGTAAGTAATTAAATACTTTATGTAATAGTGTTTTAATAAAAACACATTATAGTTGCAGACAAAGAGTGAATCACAACAATTGGATGAAATACAGACGGCGTGTTCGCACAATGGCTTAAATGTAACCAAGATTTGTGTCATTTTGCACACAAGCCGTGTCAACAAATACGCCATCAAATGTAGGTTTGCGTGACTTGCGTTGCTTTAATAATAGACGGACTGTGTTTTTTCTATACAGTCATTATATTCACTGTGTTTATGGTATTCCCCGAAAAGTTGAGTGCGGGTGAGACGGGACTTGCCTTATCATCAGGTTTGGTTACATATATAATATATTTAGATTGATACGTGTGCCATTAACTCTTTAATTAAAAACTATACTTATTTATCAATAATCGGAGTTAAACGAGTTCATAACAATAAATGACCAGGATTAATTTATCAATAAATAGCCTTAATCTTGAGGGGATTGATTCAATGGGGAGTTCGACAGTCGACCGAAGTGGAAAGTCAGATGACATCAGTCGAGCGCATCATTGAGTACTCAAAACTACCACAAGAGGCGGCCCTCACAGCCCATGACAGCCATAAACCCCCTCCCGATTGGCCACAGGCGGGACAGATAGAGTTCAAAGATATGAGTTTGTGTTACAAGGGATCAGACAAACTGGTGCTCAAGTGCTTGAATTGTGTAATAAATTCGGGCGAGAAAATTGGCATCTGCGGGCGGACGGGCGCCGGCAAGTCGTCCATCATATCAGCCTTGTTTCGTATGGTTGAGCCGAGGGGGCAGATAATAATAGACGGCATAAACACGGGATCAATAGGTTTGCGTGATTTGCGTTCTGTTATCTCAATCATACCTCAGGATCCGGTAGTCTTCACGGGAACCGTCAGAAAAAATTTGGACCCTACCGGCGAATACAGCGATCAAAGGATATGGAGTGCCTTAGAAGAGGTGCAGCTGAAGGGGCCGGTGGGGGACCTCCCGGGCCAGTTGGACAGCTTGTTGGCCGAAGAAGGCGCTAATTTCAGTGTAGGTCAGAGGCAGTTGGTATGTCTGGCGCGGGCTATACTCCGTCACAATAGGGTTCTAGTGCTCGACGAGGCGACCGCTAATGTTGACCACCAAACCGATGCCTTAATTCAAACGACAATTCGTCACAAATTCAGTGATTGTACTGTTTTTACGATCGCTCACAGACTCAACACTATCATAGATTGCGATCGCGTTTTGGTTTGTATTTTAATTATAATTTATTGAATTTTAAATATAAATAAATATTAATTGCATATAAATTAATGTATAATTTGATCCCATCAGGTGTTAGACGCGGGAGAGATCATAGAGTTTGACGAACCGTTTGTTTTACTGCAACGAAAGGGACAGTTGTATGACATGTGCCGCAAGACTGGGAAACATATGTTCAATCATTTAATAAATATGGCTAAAGAATCACATCTTAAGAGAAATAATACCACAGAATACGAAGAAGAATAATCATAATAATCATAATTTAATTAAAATTTTAATAAACTTCAATTTTGTAAATATACAACTTTAATTACTTAAATGATTGGATGGCAATTGTAGAAAATTTTATTGTAAATTTATAATACAAAGAATTTATAACTTATTGTATTTAAATAATTTTGTTACGACATGGTCGTAATCATAAAGAATATTCTTGTTAAATTATATCAAATTATTATATTTGGTTTTATTTTACATATGAATTTAAATCTAAATTATAGCCACGCAGTGCGGGTAAAACTGGGTAAACGAGGGTTAACTGTAATGTATTGTCTATGGGAGCATAGATGCAAAGCTTACTTTTTGCGTGCTACTGATCTAAATTATGCTTAAAAATTTTTAGTACCCTGAATATACAGGTGTACAAGCCTTAAATTTGCTTTCCTCCACTTATTTTCCTCTTTTAAAAGCTTATACTAATAGATATAAACCAGCGGATCTCTGAGCGTGCATAATCGGGCATTCGCGGGCATTATAGGGCAACAGACTTTATACTCAATTTATTATCATTCTAAGACATTCAAATATGTTGTTATCAAATAAATAAAGTGGTGGTTGCTTTAATTTAATAAATTTATTTATTTAAATTAAAAATTAGTGAAATATTTTAAATGAAATTATTTATCCAAATTGTCAATCACTCTCTCAATAACAATCTATATCTCAGTCAACTCTTATCTTTCATTACGAGCTTTTTATTGACAATATGTTGTAAATAATAATAATGACATTTGTGACAAATAATTTTATGCATACCAAAATAAAACAAACATAATGTTTAGTTTAAAACTTTTTTAAAAGCTTTTTTGAAAGAAGCGTTCTCCTGATATAAATGAAACAATAAATTTTTGGCAAAATATCTGCAAAGATATTATACCACGTTGTCTTAGAATGTGATCCATTTGTTGGTTGTATTGAGACCTGTGTCCACACATTAAACGTTTAACACAAACAGTGATTATCACAATTCGATAATTAAGAAACATATCATGTATTTATAAAAATGTTATCAATTTATTCGAAAGATAATGTTATTATCAATAAATAGACCACAAAAATACGCATAACATGTAAACTTATAATTCTTACAATGTGTTTATGGATAATTAAAAATACGATAAAATAAAACTGTATAATTAAATTTGAATAATAAACTGCTTATTATGTACAGTATTTAAGTTTATATATACAGTATACTAGATTGTCAGTTTCTGTTTATAAAAAGCATGTTTCATATTAAATGCATATATTTTAACAAAACACATCATTTAACTGTTAAAATAAATATACATCTTAATAATCTATGATACATTTAAATTTCTAATTTTTAAAAATTAAAATTTAAAACTAACTTCATATAATGTATTTATAAAATGCAATCATTTGAACAAGTCATAAAATTTATGCATTAGTTGATTTTATTAACGAATAACATAAAAAATATTTATTGTAACATGTTATTATATACTGTATTTAATGTTTCATTACAAATACATATTACAGGTATAAAATGATCGAAATTACATTTTTGGTAATTATTATTGCAATAATAGCGTATACATGCTATAAAAGATACCAATGTATGACTGTGCTTAAAAGAAATGGTATTCCGGGGCCTAAACCGAGCCTACTATGGGGTAATATTTTTGAATATTTTCAAATGACATCGATTGAGGTGGAAGAGGACTGGATCGGAAAATATGGTAAAATTGTAGGTTTTTATATGGGAACGAAACCGTCTGTTCTGGTGGCCGACCCGGACTTAGTCAAACACATCCACGCCATTGATTTCAACGTGTTCTCCGATAACATTTCCCGAGTATTGGCGAAGGACGGAATAGCTGCTGATCCGGAGTTTTACCATAATGTGGCAACACTTCGCGGCCAGCGGTGGCGCGATGTGCGCAGCGTTTTGACGCCCACTTTCAGTCCATCCAAACTCAAGACAATGACACCCGTTATAGAGGAAGCCATCGATGAGTTTATGCATAACATCGACAAGAGATCCAAAGCCGGTAATCAGTTTGACATTTACGACATGTTTCAGACGCTGACCACTGATGTGATCGGACGGACAGCACTCGGCATTCAGACCAATGTTCAAAACGATAAAAACTGTATATTTTTGAACGCTTCGAAGGCTTTACTTAATATGAAAGTCAATCGATTGTCTCTTTTATTAATACAATGTTTCCCATTATTGGATCCATTAATACATCCTTTTAGGAGATTTGCGGTTATTATTGAACGAATGAGAGGACAATCGCCGATAGGAATCATCGCTAATATGGTTAGCGATGCGATTGAATTGCGTCAACACAACCCTAATAATCGACAACAAGATTTACTGCAATTAATGTTAGACACAAAGACTGCCGACAAATATCCAAATGCAACCAAATCAAGAAATGCTAGTAATAATAGCGTTCATAAAAACATTAATATAGAAAAAAGTAGTATTACATTAACCGACACCGAAATTATATACAATTCATTATTTTTTTATGTGGCGGGATATGAGACTACGAGTGCAACGCTCGCATACGTGGTGCACATTCTGGTCAATTATCCCGATATCCAGGAAAGGCTGCGAGAAGAGATAAGGCAACTCTTGGAAAGTGAGGGTAAATTGGATATCAATGTCATCAACCGATTGGTGTTCATGGAATGCGTTGTCAACGAAACGTTGCGTTTGTATCCGCCACTCATATCGCAGTCGCGTCAATGCAGTCGAGACTATAAATATGGGTCAATAACTATACCGAAAGGCGCGAACGTTCACTTCGCTGTCCATCACTTGCATCACTCGCCCGACTATTGGCCCGAAACCGACCGCTTCGATCCGATGCGGTTCAGCGCCGACCGGAAACACGAGATTCACCCGAACTCATGGCTACCCTTCGGAAGTGGTCCCCGAATGTGCGTTGGAATGAAGTTTGCATTGCTTGAAATCAAACTATGTTTGGCTAAACTATTATTGAGTTACCGACTAATTCCCGGTCCGAACACAGAGATCGGCGAATTGAGCACAACGTGTAAATTGTTAACACTCATCCCTACCAATGGAGTTTATGTTAAGATTGTCAACATATAAATCAAACTTTAGATTAAAGACTATATATTTGATTAAAATCAATAATATTAATTACAATCTGTAGATTATCAATCGCCTATGTCAGGTTTAAGACAGTATTGACAATCCTAGTTTATATAAAGTTATTGCATGTAGTCTTATTTTACTGCCGATTAAAATTGTAGATTATACAAATAGCAATTATTACGCTAATTATTTCATAGTATTGCATAAGTTTAATATTGATATGAATAATAATTATTAATTAAGAAAATTTTTTTATATGTAACAATATTTGTTTCCTATATTCATAACTACTATTAATACGTAAAACCATAGTATAGAAAGACTATTTGTCATTTCTTTTATAGAAGTTGTATTGTATTAGAAAGTACCTTGTATATTTATTAATGTTTTAATATTTTATAACATATTTGACATAATTTGTATGAAAAATTGTTACAACTATTAACTTATAGCAATTTGATAGATGCATATATGCATATTATTTACAAAATTGAATAAAGTAATTACATGATAAATGATAGAAATATAGTTATTATATTGAGAAATATTTATAATTAACAATAATTTTGTATATTTGAAAATCATTTTTTCAAATGCACTGAACATTTTAATAACTATTCTAATAACTAATATAATAAATAAACAAATTTAATGTAA